TTCTCTCCCCTTCTATATGAATTAGATTAAACTTGTATTATCTTGGTGTTTATCTGATAGTTGTAAAGTTTTGTTTTGTAAACAATTTAACAGAATCATTTTCTCATACACCTAATTACATTCAACTCAAAATATTAAAATTATGTTCCTTGAACTTTAATAGCCATATTAAAGAAATTTTTATAATGATTTATTAACCAAAAAAGTGATAAGGAAGCTTTAATAACTTTAACTTACTTTGATATTAGTACAAACTAATTACATTAATGTAGCGATCTAAGTTCAGTATAGAAAGAGCTAAGAAAGATGTTCTTCAAAGGAAAAATACATGTACAAAAATATCTTAAAAAATTACTCTCTAAATATAATGACAAACTTTCTCAAGTCTTGCTTCCTAAGTGCAAATGTTTTGCTTATGTAGGATGATGAAATATGATAATTTCCATCAATGTTCTTATCACTGATATAAAAGAACTGATTCCTATTTTTTGTAGTATTACATGTATTAAGTGATGGTTATTATAGACCGATTATTTCTTCAATTGTGCTTCGACAAGAAATGAATTTTGCATTATAATTATTAATGATAATATTTGTCTGCTTATTTTTCCATGCTTAATATTGCTCTTCATTATATTTAGAAGTATTTAAATTAATCTGTGAAGTTATCCTAAGAGGATTTATAAAAAATAAGATTTTTCTCAATTAACCTTCTTTTTTCAAAAACCTACTTTAAAGCAATCTTTTGAAGATTCAATACTTAATTACTTTGGTATTAATATAACTATTTTTTAGTTCTACTTGTGTGTTTAAGAACCCTTTTAATAGCAAAGGGATGGTTAAGCATTACACTTTTCTCCAAATTGAAAAAAAAATTATTAATATGATAAATATTAAAAAGTAACATAAAGCAATTCTTAAATTCATCGCCTTGTCCCTTTTTGCACAAGTAAAATTTTGTACCATCTTCTTTGCTTGCTATAAAGCTGGATAAATACCATCCTTCGACATATTTGGTTCACCTAGGTCAAAGAAACCTTCCACATATAATTAGGAAGTTGTTGATGTTAATATATCTATGAAAGATGTTTTAAAAGATATGGGTTAAAGTGAAATAAAGCTATTATGGAAACATAAATTCATTTCTAAAATCATAGGATTTAGTTTTCATATCTCCTTGCTTGTTCTTACCTTCACAAACATTTTGGTAAACCTGGACATGAATTGTTGTTACTCTTGTGAGTCCAATGGCGAGCTAAAATAAGATGAGGATGACGAAGTAGAAGAAGATGATGATGAGGATGGACATTGAAGGGTTTTATTGTTGTAGGACACCATAATGACCATCATCAATCTTTAGATAAGGCATAATCTATCAATAGGATTCTCTAATAAGCATGATAGTAAGTTAAGAGATTTTAAATTACTTATAATAAATTGAGAGATTTGGTTTTGAAGTTAGAACCATTAAAATTGAATTGCCCATAAAGCCGATTATCTATGACAAATTAAAAGAAGCTTCATATATTTGAATCATTGTAACATCCATGGCTTATTTTTCCTTTGATGTTGAGAGGTTTAGAAGGATATTAAATAAATAATAAACATACTTATTATTAAATTAATTACAGTTATTTAAATAAAGTAATAATTTAAGCAAGTAATATACATCATGAAATATAATGCACATGAAATAAGCTCAACAAATATTACATTCTATGATCATCCATTTACTGCTAATAAAAACAATAAAATTTTACTGAGCAAACCAGCATATCAAACTAATAACAAATTGTAAGAAAATTTGCATCAAACCTCAACCATATAAATAGCTCAAATAAATTACTATTTATGTATGTATGTTGTAATTATATATAGAAACTGGCTGATTAGAGATCCCACATCAATTGAAGTTTATAATGAACAACATCAAAACCATCAATAATGTCCAATGTCCAACTAACCACCAAAAAATCAACTGGCCTGAAGATCCCAAATACTCAAAATATGCAAAGCCAAAGGCTTCAATGGCAATTTCGATGGTTCTACAATGTGCCCTTCACCTCATAACACATCATCAGATGGATCTATCCCACCTAACCCTGACTATACACTAAGGCTTCTTATAGATCAGAACATAGCCGCGACCCTCTATTCCACTATTTCTCCCTCCTTGGTACCGTACATCATGAATCTCATCTCATGTAAATAGATTTTGCTAACACTAGAACATCTTCTTCAACCTACAAATACATCTTGAGTAATTCAGCTAAAAAATGTTCATAACATCTCTATGAAGGAGCAATCTATGACATAGTACTAATCATACATTGATGCCATGGTGGATGCAATTGGTGTAGTTGTATCATCCTTGGATATGGAAGATATCATTCACTACACTCTTAATGGTCTCCCTCCAACCTATCAGACTTTTTAAGATAACCATTGGAGCACCCTTCAACCAATCAATCTCAACAATCTCTATTTGTTGCTATGCAGAAGCTTAGAAAGAACTAAAAACAGTCTTTCGCAACTACAAAAAACGCTCGCATTCAGAGCTTGCGAGCTAGAGGTCATGGATGATCTTCCTACATAAGGGGAAAATCTAGTTCACCCGGCAACTCCAATTCTAACTATTGCAATGCCAATTCTTCCAATCCAACTACTTGTCAAATCTGCTCTATGCCAGGACAATCCGCCATCAAATGTTTGTGCAAGATGGATCTCTCTTACCAAGCCCTAACCTCACGCAAGTCGGCCCTTGTAGCTAGCTTTGTTGCACAAGATACTGAGTGGTTACTGGACACAGCTTCCTCACAGCTAACATCCAACAAAAACAACCTTTAGCCGAGCCAACCTAACCATGGCAATTAGAAAATCACCATTGAAAATGGGCCAATCACTTCTAATTATTCATATCAGTCAAGGTCTCCTCCCTACTCCAACTCGTACGCTCTACTTAAATCCCTTACTCCATGTACCAAATACTTCTGCAATCATCTATATGTTCATAAATTGGCCAATGATAGTCGTTGCTCCTTTAACTTTGATCAATATATATATTCTATCAAGGACAGTAGGTCCAACAAAATTATCCTATGCGTTCCTTCTTGTAACAGACTCCTCCCTCTAAAATTATCATCCTAAGCAACAGTTTGGACCAGCACAAAACAATAACCACCTTTAGTTTGATTTCTAAGTTGTGGCATGAACATCTTGGCCATCCACATATATCCGCTCTCCATTATTTCGCAACAGAACCACACGAAGTACAAATATAACTTCAAACATTTTCATGTCTTTCAAGTAATACAACTTAAAGCAATAAACTATCATTTAGAACTTTCTCCAAGCATAGCTCAAAACCTTTAGAACTTGCTCACTCCGTTGTATGCGAACCCTCCCCAATTCTCTCTTCTCATTAGGATAAATATATTATCATATTTGTGGATTACTAGTCACTTTACTATTACCTGCACTTAATGAAAAAAAAATCATATGCCACAATCAACTTCTTAATTTTAAAACCATGACTCAAAAACAACTCCAAACTCATCTTCAAATCTCCCAAACTGATGGGCGTCATGAATACTCCAATCATCTCCAAACCGCATCTATGAACAAACACGGCATGCACCACCAAGCCTAGTCAAACTTAAATACAGACACATCTTAGAGATCTCCATTCAACTTATGTGAACAACCAACCTATCACCTACATTCCAGCCAGACCTGGTTCAAACAACAGCTTAGCTCATCAACTTAACCCCATCCCCTAACACGTAAAACAGACCATCCTTTCAGCTCATATGTCGAAGACTACCACAATATACTCACCTAAGAGCATTCAGATGTTTATGCTTTCTCTAGTTTACACCACAGACACCCAACACAATCTCACCCAGATCTATCGCAAGTGTGTTTATCAATAAGTCACCTTTACATAAAGGCTACAAATGTTATGAGATCTTTAGACGCAAAACATACGTATCACGCTGTGTTTGGATCCAATACACCCCACCCCCGTCGCCCCTCTCCTGCATGCCATATAGCACCCAGTCCACTCTATTTAGACGATATATCCGTCATCGCCCTAGCAAATAAAACAATCTTCCACGCTTGAATGAACTATCAAAATTGATGTACACTTTATTCGTGATTCTAATACAAGTGTCCATCACAAATCCACTACAAGTCAGCTAACAAACATCTTCACCAAATCAACTACCTCAAAGTCGGTTCTTCTCTTTATGCAACAAGTTAACACTCCATGAATGGACTATCAACTTAAGGGCAGTAATAACAAAAACAACATACTTCTGCTTAGCAAAACAACACCTCATCCACCGTAACAAGCCAACAACAAATTGTAATAAACTGAAACAAACTTTATCTCTACCTCAATTATATAAATAGCTCATACACTATTGATGTATGTGCCTTAATTCAATACAGAACCTGGCTGATTATGTACCCCATATCAGCTCACTTTCTTCACTTCCTATAAACTTCTCTGCAGCTATCATCTGCATCTCCTTACAATAGCTCCTCACTTCAAAGTTGCAACATTTATAACTGTTTCTAATCAAATCAATTCAACCACTCCCCATTTCACAGGTTGACAGGTTTGAATTCTACTCGTTGACGCCCAGTTCTCTACAAATTTAATTCTTTTTAATTGAATCAAACTGAATTGAGAACCGGTTTACAATCCTACCTTCTAACTCGTTGTAGCCAGCTCTCTATAAATAATTTTTTAAAAAAATAATCCAACCAGTTCTAACAGTTCAAACACCAGGTACAATGAGATTTTCCCAATGATTTAACTGCTCTAGACGAAACTTTATGTCTGAGGATCCTACAACAAAATTTTTCAAAGTAAACATTTAAGAAGCAAACACGAATCATTAAAAATCAATTTAACTTGAACTTTGAAGCTCAGCTTCAATGGGATACGGCTGCATCTGAAACGCCAATTTTTATGAAAAATTCACAGCCAAATTTCTTCAAAATCATAAATTGTGAGCGCTAAATGAAAAATGTTTAACAACAAGACCGCAAATTAAAAATCAAGAGTATACAGCAATTTCTAAGAATGCATATAAAAAAGAAAGCAGGGCACGTGTAGCACAAGCACTACCAGTCTGATGTACTGTCTCATAATTTTAAACATTAACCTGCTCCATTTGTACATCCTTCTCCTTCAGCGGCAAATACTCCCCTAAATAGACCTCCAAGTGATCCGCCAACGCAGACTTATCGATGCTCTCATGGTGATACGATTTACATACAAAATACATCACCGTCTGCACCACCAGCGCAAAAAGCACCACCACCGACATCAAACCCAGCATCGATGTCGCGAATCCCACCCTAACCGCCGTCGAAAACTCTCCGACCACCACTACTCGCCGGAAAACTAACTCGATCCCGATAAACGCCAGATTCATTTTCACAAACACCGTGGCTGCAATTCCCATCTTTCCCTTCACCAGATCCCTGCCCCTCTGCATTGCAGCCAGCCCACAAGCCTCCTCAAGCACCGACACCACGCTCGCCAGATGCCATACCACGCTGATCCAAACCAAGCCAACGAGGTAGACGAGGAAGAGGAAGAGGATGATGATCAATCCGATGATGTTTTCTCCGGTGATCATTATGGATAAAACGAGGATGAATATGGCGATAATGTTGTATGCGACCAGGAAAAGAAAGGCGATGAGGAACGTGAGAGCGAGGCGACGCCATACTTTGGGGACAACGGAGAGGACTTTGCGGTAGGAGAGGAGGAGATCATGCTTAGCGGTGTAGGCGGAGGCAACGGTGTAGACGATGGCCGCGGTGGAGAGCAGGGAGAAGATGAGGAGGGCGATGAGGTAGAAAGCTTTGAAGAGGAGGAAAGCGGACCACTCAGAGGAGAGTCGATGGAGAAGTAGGGTTTGTGAAGGAGAGCCGGCGGTGGTGTGTTCTAGGGCATATTCGTTGCGGTCGATTTGGGAGAAGAGTAGGTAAGAGATGTGGATGTGGAGGAGGAAGAGGAGGGAGAGGGGGACGATTATGGAGATGGCGATTTGGGAGAACAGTCGACGCAACGAAACGATTAGCTTCGAGGCTTCGAGGTAGATGCCCTTGATGCTTAGGAACTGGAGGTCCTCTGGTTCGCAATCCATGATGCGGTGTTTAGCAATGGAGATATTGGATGGATTTGGGGGAAGCGAGAGAGAGATTGGGGATTGAACGAGGAAGAAATGTTGGGGGTTGCAGAAATAGCTCGTCGATATCCACGAAGAAGCTGGATTGACATTGACTTTGAAGTCTTCAACGGGAACCAGGCGAAAATCCTATCTTTTACCTAGAAATTTTTTTTGATCATAATGAGATTAATTTATTATATTTTTCAAGTATTAATTAGATAATATAATTAAATGTGAAAAAAAGAAAAAAATTAAAATATATGATAATTTAATAATGAGATTAATTTATTCTATTTTTCATGTACCAATTAGGTAATATAATTAAATATATTGGGATATAGCATTAATTTTTTGTAAAGGGGAAATAATTCGTATTATTTAATTTAAATAAAATTAAGCTAAAATAAGAATAAATTTAATATAAGTATAATTTAGATTTAAAAATTTTAAAAAAATTTAAGATTACTAACAAAATTAATGAATACTAGGACTCTCAAAAACGCTTCGTGTTCGGCTTGTTAAGAGTTCGTGTTCGAATCGTTCACCAAGCTAACGAGCAGAGCACGAATAATTTTTACGCTTGATATATAAATGAGTAGAACATGAACAAAAATTGTAAATTAAATAATTTTTACGCTTGATAAAAACAAACTAATTTTTACGCTTATTAAGATTGATGAATAGTATTTAAAAAAAATTAATTGACACTAAAGTAACAAAAATTTATAATCAATTAAAATTATCGATTTAAAAAATGAAATAAAAATATATTAATTTATATTTAAATGATATTTTAATATAAGAAATAAGGTTTAAATCTTGTTATGATATGACTCATATATCATATAGGGGCAGATGTTGGAACGAAGCGGAGCGGAGCGGAAGAATCTGTCCAAATCGGGAAGTTACGTTATGTGGGTTGGGGCTATACAGTACATGAGTAATTTAGGTATTACATATTGTACTGTAGGGTTTACTCTAGGATTATAAATAAACATGTTCGTAATCCTAGGTCTTAGAGAGAGTTGAATCTTGTATTATATACTTTTTCTGAATATTGAAAAGGAGATCGCCGCTCTGCTCCCGAGGATGTAGGCATCTTTGCTGAACCTCATTAAATCTCTGTGTTCTTCTGGATTTGTGTCGATTACTGTTTTTCTTCGCCCTAATTTTCTCAACAAGTGGTATCAGAGCCAGGTTCAAGGGCGGAGAAGAAAATTTGAAAGTATTTTCTGAATTTCCTTGACTGGAGAAAGAAAATCTTGGCTACAGCGCAAAAAAAATATAAAATTTGGCGGATTGTTTGCAAGGCAGACGGGCTCGCCGGAACAAACAGATGCGAAGCAGTTCGGATAAAGAGCTGCGGCAGTTCGACGAGTTATGCTTCGGGGAGTTCGCGGTAGAGGCGGTGTCGCGATTTTGAGGCGCAACAGTAGACAGTTCATGAACCGTCGCGGCATTAGACGAGGTGGAGTTCGCGAACAGGAGTTCGTGGGCAGTTACCGCGAACAGGAGCTCGTGTG